ATAATAACAGATCAAAAATTGAAATACACAAAAATTTTCGACGTACTAATGCGAAGCGAAGAAAAAATTATATTCGGAACGGCGAAAGAAATTATAAATTTAAAATCGTGGCTATATATCTTTGAGGCCATCTGACCCTTCGTCCATATCTAGTCGGTGGTGGACTTCCTTCGCTTTTCTACCTTGATGTCGCTGATGGTTGGAACTCGCATATTGGTGATTCGATAATTTTCGAAGGATTTGTACTTATCAGCTGTATGTCGCTTTCAATAAAAGCTGGTTTGACTAGGCCGACGCTAACTACATCCGTTTTTCCAGCTTTATAAACTGTGAGGGTTTTATCGTCTCTTCTAATTATTTAAAATAGACCATCGTTAGTCGGTTGTAAGGGACGTTGCATATTATCCCTACAGATAAACACATGGGTACTGTCATTCAGTTGGTACGTCGCCTCTTCGTCGTATCTGCCTACGCTCTCACTGACTGCAGTTCAAACGAGGTGAAAGATGGGTTCTACAGAAAGCTTTCGGACCTCCTCCAAAAAGTTAGGCACTCTGATGTAGTAATAATTGCTGGAGACTTCAATGTTCATGTAGGTAGATTAAGTGATAATGAAAGACACCTGGGTGGATCTTATAGTGTTGCGGCTCAGAGAACTGATAATGGAGACCGTCTGTTGCAACTATGCCTACATAACCGCCTATTTCTAGCAAACAATAACTTGAGCATAAGGAAAAACATCTTTCGACCTGGCGACCTCCAAAGTCGTCTCAATGTTAGACTCAACTAGATCACATTGCCATCAGCCACCAATGAACGGGTTCGATAGAGGACTGTCGCTCGTTCTGGGGCACATGTTTAGATTCAGATCATGCTCTAGTACGAGCGCGTATTTTTTTGCGCCTTACTGGACGCAAGAAAAATATCGCAAGAAACCTCTTAGGGTTCTACCTAATGATAGCTAAGTTAAGAATATATTTTAGAAACAACTAGGAAAACAGTTAGGCAGCCATGTAGTAAGTTTACCCAAACTGAGGCCGCTTGGAATGATAAGAAAAAGGCTATGAAAACAGCAGTGATATTTGCAAGTAAGGTAAGTCATAAGGCTAGGAAGAAGCAGTGCATTTCAGTGGCATCTACCGACTTGATGGATGCTCGAAAGCTCATCCCACCTGGCTCTGAGTACGATGAGAAGTGGAGTCAGCTTAGGCGCAGGCTAATAAAAAACATTTGCAATGATAGAGAACAGTGGTGGGTAAAGATATCGAGGGAAACAGAAAAGGCAACAGCGATAGGCTACAGTAGGCAACTATTCAGACTCATCGAGGAAACCGGTATTAGGACCTCGAATGTAAGTGAAACTATCTCGGAAACGGATGGGACTATTATTCATCCTCAATCCAGGAGACTGGATCGATGGGCAGAACACTTTAGGGATCAGTTCGACTGGCCTTCTGCCACACTTCAGTTGGCCACCAACTCCAGTCATCCTGAATGATAAATCGACATACTCCTCTGAATCTTTATGAATTTGAGAAAGCGATAGAAAATCTGAAGCGAGAGAGAGCAGCAGGTCCTGATAGATTGACCCACGAGGTTCTTAAGGATGGTGATCCAGTATTAGCAGCTAGATTGACTGAAATATTGGGTAGAATCTGGGATCTGAACATAATAGCATCCGAGTGGTATCAATCACTGATTGTCCCAGTCTACAAGAAAGGAAAAAAGTCCTCTTGTGACAATCACAGGGGAATCAGTCTACCTAATTTAGTTTATAAATTGTTAGCCTCGATAATCCTTAGGTGCGTAACTAGAGCTCGTGAAGAGCAGACTAGAGAAAACCAGCTTGGTTTCAGACCTGAACTTGGCTCTACACACCACATTATCACTCTACGACAGGTCCTGGAACATACACACACACCTAGGCGTCCTACAATTGTTGTGTTCCTGGACCTTAAGGCGTCATTTGACTCAGTGGATCGTGAGGTTCTGTGGCAGTGTCTGTCATTGAGAGGTATACCAAAGAAGTACAGTAACCTCATACAAGCTCTCTACTCGAACACCACTGGTCGAGTGAGAGCTTATGGCGACCTGTCATCGGAATTCTTTACTTCGAGTGGTGTCCGTCAGGGATGTCCACTCTCTCCATTCTTGTTTAATTTTATCATAGACATGCTCCTAGAAATAACCTTGTCGTCGTCTGAATTTTCAGGAGTACACCTTCTACCAGGTTGCTCGCTCATTGACTTAGAATATGCCGATGACATAGTCCTACTTGGTGAAGACGCTGACAAAATGCAGAGACTTCTGACCACCCTAAGCAACAATGCAGGCTTATTCGGGATGCGATTCTCGTTGTCGAATCGCAAAATGTTGCTTCAAGATTGGGTTGCATCGGCATCTGAACTAGTGATAGGGAGTGAGGCAGTTGAGCACGTTGACCGCTTCATTTATCTGGGGAGTCTCATCAGTGCCGATGGCCTGGTGACTGACGAAATCTCAGCTCGGATACAGAAGGCTCGATTGGCTTTTGCCAACTTGCGTCACTTATGGCGCAGGCGAGATTTCCGTTTGCTGACTACAGTTCGAGTGTACTGTGCAACATTTCGCTATGTCCTACTATAGGGATGCGAAACATGGCCAGTCAGAGTAGAGGGCATTTGTAGGCTATTGGTATTCGATCACAGGTGTTTTCGAAACGTTGTTATTATATCCTGTGACCGTCGTGTGAGCAGTTCTGTCTTTAAGAAGCGAATACTAGGTAGGGATGGCAGATAAGTTGACGAAGTAGTGAAAGTCCATCAGTTGAGGTGGTTGGTACATGTATTACGTGTGCCCAACAAACGACTGCCTCGACGAGCTATGCTTTGTGGTGTAGGAGTAAGTTGGCAGAAAGCTAGTGGCGGCCAAACCAAAACATGGCAGAAATCCATGAAGTCACTAACAAGTGGATTGTGTGATGTTGGTAGATGTAGGCTACTTGGTTGGCGTCCGCGAGACGAAAGTCACCGATGGTTAGAGACCTTGAATGAGGTGGCTCGAGATCGTTTGCAATGGTGCATGTCCATCCATTCTTTGTGTTCTTTCAAATCCTAAACTTTTTAATTCTTCATCAGTTTATCCTTGATCTTCTCAAGTCTATTTCACTAGATTCTACTTCTTGAATACTATCTTCTAATCCTAACCTCTCCGAATACTCCGAATATCTTTACTACCTCTACTACTATTGGATTTGAATTGGCAATTACCTCTCTTTGCTAATGTGGTATGGCAAACGTGAATTGATGTACTTACGTACGAAGTTCTACGTTGTAACTGACTGATTGACTGAATACATTATAAATATTTTGTGATTAAAGTAGATGTCGGAGGAGCAAAATCAATTTGTCAGCGAATCATTGGTGAATAATCTGTTTTTTATTGAGACAGATAATATCAAACAGAAATACTA